ACACAAAATAGAAATCATGCCTAGGTAGTAATAATTGAAGAGATCCGGGGCCAATATAAAGGACTACTCAGGAGAATCATGGCATCAAATGGTATCCAAATATATTAAACGCTACCACATGGAAGTATCTCGAGGAATAAAAAAAGATCCTTAAAAATATCGGAGAGATATTCTATTATGGTCCAACTTTCTGAGGACTAATGGACATCATGAAAAGCAGAAAGTTTCCCAAAACCAAACATAAACAAACATAGTATCATGTCTGAATGACTGCTTAGTTGACATGTTATTTAGGCAATTCAAGTTTTAGATGGGTATGTAAAGTAGTTTTTAAATATCTCTTCCAATAACGAACTTCCATGACTCATTCTTTCTTTCATTAAATAAGTATTTATTGAGAACCAGAAATGTACCCAAACATCATTCTAAGAATTGAGGATACTGCAACAAACAGAAACAAGCCATTTCCTCATGAAATCTGACGGAATAAGTAGAAAATAAACAAATAATAAAATCTCAAGCAGCAATAAGGATTGTGGAGAAAAATCAAGCAGGGTGTGGATTCTGAGTGATGGAGAAAGGCAAGGAGACACGAAATAGGATGGTCAGAAAAACCTCTTGGGCCAATGAGCTCATCTGTTTACCATAATACATTTCTCTAAATTTTCAGTCTGGTAGCTTCCTAAGGCCCTGATTTTTCCTCCTTATGTTAATACCTTCTATGTGGTTTACTCTTTAACTCTTAAACCCAGAATAACTCTAACTTATAAATCCAATAGAACTATTAGTGAAACTAGAACAGTGGGATACTTATTTCCACAATCAACAAACTAAGTGGGTATCATTCAGTTTAAGATGGCAGAACAAGCACAATTTTCTTTTTTCCTCTTGTTCCTAATTACTCTGAAATCATAGAAAAATAATTTTTTAAATAAAAATTGCAGTTTTGGAAAATAAGAGATTCTGATGACAATTTGAGAAGATACTAGAAGTAGAAAGGGTCTGATCACTTGGGGAAATAGAGTAGGGAAACTATGGCCCCAAATGCCCTGAGTAGAAGAGGTCTGAATATCAAAGAAATTCTCAAAGGTTTTCCATGCTCAGTTAATAAGTACAAAGAGCAAGAATAGATTGTGCAAAAATATCAGAGTAATTAATTAGAGAATCATACCTGAAAGAGGAAGACTTCTCCTCTTACTCCTTTCCCTCATGAATATCAAGCAAATGGCGACAGGAGCTGAAATTGTAGACCTAAAGATACACGTAACACCCGTTCACATGACTGTCTGGTCACATGCCTGAAGTCTCTCACTCTTCTCACTGCTTCCAGACATGGATAAAGCACCACACAGCTCGGTTTACCAAGATGCTGCTAAAGGGTCTAGGTAATACAACCCAGTTATAGAGGAGTTTAAGCCCTAATGGGCAAATTATAACCAATGGGAGACAGGATCCAGAAGAGCACCAAGCAGAAAAGTTATGCTCTATTCCTGACTCCCTGGGATGGACTTGCTTGAGCCTGATTTTCTCTTTATTCTTTATCTGAAAATATCATACATGAATAAATAAGCACATCTGCTTTGTAAACAACTGTGCTTCGCTGTGCCTTGTTGAGAAATGTGGCTAAAACGATAATATTTGACTGTGAATTATTTCCTGGTCTTCCCTCCAACATTTCCCATTTCCCTCATTCTCTCACCAATGGAATCACACTTGTCCATCAACATTTAATCCTTGGCTCAGGCTCTTTTTCGAAGGAGTGAGGGCCATTGTAAGTTAAATTGTGCCTCACCAAAAGATGTGTGGAAGTCCTAATCTTCAATATCTCAGAATGTGTGATCTTATTGGAAATAGCATCATTATAGATGTAATTAGTGAAGATGAGGTCATACTGGAGTGGGGTTGGCCCTTATCCAAAATGACTGGTGTCCTCCTCAGGAAAAAAGAGACAAAAACACACAGGAAGAAAACCATGTGAAGACTGATGCAGAAATTGGACTTATGCTGCCATAAACCAAGGAACTCATAGGGCTACCCCATACTGGAAAAGGCAAGGAAGGATCTTCCCCTAGAGATTTCAGAGGAAAGATGGCCTTGATGACACCCACCTTCATTTTGCACTTCTCATCTCTCCAAAAAGGAGATTATATATTTCTGTTGTTTTAAGCCACCCAATTTGTGGTAATTTGTTATGGTATCCCCAGGAAACTAATACAAGGACTCAAGCAATTGGAGACCAGAAAATGTTCTAGAACACAGACCTTTAAAATGGGATTTTGGAGTTGGATGCCCACTTGTTGGAAGGCAAGAGGGACACCACTACTGTGTTAAGTAGGATGCTAATAATCCATGGCACACAATGATATCACAATTAAGTTTAAGGTAAAGGTAAAAGGAGGAGCCCAAGTATCTGTGGTAATCAGTATGGGCAAATGATAAATTAAAAGATAATGGAGTAAGGTAGCTACTTTTGATAGGCCTAGATAACTTGTAAAAAGAAAATGATAGGCTCAAAGCAGTTAATTGCTAACTTAAGGCATGTTCTGATTGCCAGAGGATTGCCATGGCAGCATTAATATAAACTCAGGACAGACTGTGGTGAAAAATTAAGACTGGAATCCATTTACAGCCTTGTTAGAGATGTAAAAAGAACTAAATGTACAGTTGCAAGCATTCTCCCAAGTCATTGTCAAAACCCAGATAGAAAATATTGAGATCATTAGTATCTGGGATAATGACATTTAGGTGGATGAGCATTGTAATCTTGAACCCCTGGATTCTCCTGAGATTTCCTGGCTGATATAAGCAGCCTCATCCTCCTCACCAGAGAAGAACAGTCTCTGCTTGCCCGGAGACTGTGTAATGATTACACTGAAATTGTAAATTTGCATGATCGCAAGGTGTGACGTTATCATCTCTCACTGCTTCTAGGCCAATAGCCAGATCATGTCTTAACACAACTTGTGCACGGAAGTATAATCCCAGTTTCCATGCTAAAGGCATTTCATGACCTAGCTAATATGTATCAACAGGAATTGGAAGAATGCATATGGAATTGGATCTTGAGGGAGTTAGAGGTAGGAAATGGAGGTTGGAGTTTTGGATGAAAGAATTCATTGACAAGTTCCTGACCAAAGACCAAAGACAATAGTTTGCCCTTTCCCATCCTTCCTTGCCTTATTTCCTTTTTCCTTTATTATCATAACAAATATTATTTGATTATTTAAATAACTTGTAGTGTATTCCTTCAATGAAGTACTATTCAGCCATTTAAAGGTATGAGCTATACCTGTAAGACATAAGAAACCTGGAAAAGCATGTTTCAGTCATCAATACATAGTAGCACATCATATTATTTTGATAGTACCTGTGTCCAGGCCCTTGGCTATTAGTTTTACCCTGGTGTTACAGTGACAATTCACTTTCTCAGACATTACTATACTGCCCACATTAGGCCCCAGGGATTTTCTGTTGCTGCTGAGCTATTAGTGGCAGGGGAATCCATTTGGTTCTCACACACTGGTGAGAACTTAATATCACAATTAAGTTTAAGGTAAAAGTAATTACCAGATTACACACTGGTAATCTGGAATCACAGGGGAACTGAATGCCCTGTACAGAGAATGAACTTTTCACATGTGGGAGACTGAGCTAATAGATACACTTTTCTTCCTTCATTTCAGAGATTAACTGTCCTGACATGAAACAGTTTACTCAACATCTGGGAAGATGATCCCATGAGATCATGCAGTCAGTTGCAACTGACACCCACATAGTCAGCCCAGTAATGTATCCCATCATATTTGTTCTCTTTTCTTCCCTTATTCCTATTTCTCTGGGATTTGCCTGCGAATAAGTGAGCACATCAGCTTTTTCTTTAAGCTCTGTTTTCTAGGGTACTTGACTCAAGGTAGATGTTTGTCATATAATGTTACATGAAAAAGTAAGTTATAGAATACTATGGAAAATAATGAATTTTATGTAAAAATACAAAAGCATATACACATTTTTAATTATTTGTGACATTGTAAAAAGAGGACTGGATGGATACACACCTTTGAGAACAGGTAGGAGTAAATACAAGATTGAATATTTATTTGTTCTTCTCTAGAATTTTTAAGGTCATGTATTTGCAATTTTTTAAAATACTGAAAAAATACTTTAAAAAATACTGAAAAAAAACTGAAGAATACTGAAAAAATACTTTAAAATATCATAAAGTAAGTTCATATTATGCTATACTTTAAATTGAACATATTGCATATTTTTATATCATTAATAACAAATTTTAGGCATTGGAAACAACAATTAAAAATGATAATATTGGAAAATGAGTTAAACAAAGTAAATGTTGACGTGGTTTTCTATTAGCTTTAACATTTATTGGTCCTAAAATGAAATGTCTTTGTACATAGAGTGGAATTACAACACAGAACAATGTCTTTTAAGGTTGTATTTATACAACACAAAAAAACTCACAAATCTATAAGTTAACTGATTTTTTAAAAAATCAATATGGATAAACAAGTAGATAAAAACTCTGTAAAAATTAACTGGTTAAATGACAGTATTTATTCACTGTGCTCTTAAGACAGACCTCTTTATCTTTGCAAAAAAAATAACCCCTTCAGAGAAATTGAAATTGGTTTCTTTCCTTTAATCATATTGAAGTTTCAACTTCAATATTATAATAGCATTCAAATAAATATAATGCTTCTTTAGCCATACATGTTCATTTTAAAGATGTAGTATGAAGCTGGGCACGATGGCTCATGTGTGTAATCCCAGAACTTTGGGAGGCTGAGGCAGCCAGATCACCTAAGGTCAGGAGTTCAAGACCAGCCTGGCCAACATGGCAAAACCCCACCTCTACTAAAAATACAAAAATTAGCCGGGCATGGTTGTGGGCACCTGTAGTCTCAGTGACTTGGGAGGCTGAGGCAGGAGAATCACTTGAACCTGGGAAGTGGAAATTGCAGTGAGCTGAGATAGCATCACTGCACTCCAGCCTGGGTGACAGAGCAAGACTCCGTCCAAAAATTTAAAAAAAGATACAGTATGAGGCTTCTATATCACCATAACTTGGGTTTAAAATCTTTTTCTTCATTTTATCCTGAAGGTGACAAAATCTCCCCAAGAGAGGGTAGCATGTCCATTAAGGTAGTCTGAACAAAAGGTGATTGTGTAGGTTACTATAAACTGACTTTAGTTTTATTCAATTATTATCCTTAAAATGCAACATACAAATAAATCATTTTGTTTTCATGAAATAATATAAAATTTCAGGTAATTCTTACATACACTAGTGAATAATTTCAACTTTCTTTCTTGGCAATAAGGACAAACAATTGATTTTAGGGGCCAAAAAGTAGTTGTTAAACTAATATAAATCATGCTTTCATTTGTAGTGAAGGCAAAAGGCTTTGACGCTCCCACTAATTAAAAATATGTAAAATATGAGAAGAAATTACCAAACCAATTGATTTATATCTAGTATTTTAAATATATGTATATAAAATAGGTAAGGATGAAAGCATATAAAGTCCCCTTAATGTATAGACAAGTGCAATTCTTGATAACGGTCTATTTATGAATTTTATGGTTTTCACGAATTTATATTGTCAACCTAAATAGAAAACACAGAAGGAGATTCTGCAAAAGGAAATTATGTTTATTCAGAAATAGGTATTTCAGTGAGAACATATGTGCTATAGTTAACTATGCGAGTATTCAGGAAAGTAAAGGAAGACAGAGGTTTTTAAAGGAAAAATGAGGATTGTGTCACTGTTTTTAGATAATTATTCTGGCTACAAGGATCAGTAACAACAAGGGTGGTGCCAGTCCAAGGTTGGACAGGCAGTTGCTGGGCAGATGTTCTGACAGAGGTGTAAGATTGTAAGATTGTGATGGCGTTTGTGCAAGATTGTGGTTTTTGTGGACACTTTTGTGATACTTCCTTTGGGACATGTATGCACAAGAATTCTCCCTTTACGGCTTTCTTTACCTCTATTCGTCAGAGATTTTTAACACAAGTGACTGCATTTTGATTTTGACAATTTTCACAATGTTTATGTCATAACTAAAAATTACAATAACTGGCTCCAAAATTAGCTGTTTCACACAAAGGTCTCAACTGATAAATAGGACAATCATAAGGAATATTTTAAAAGGTGATTGTTTATTAACCTCTGTTAAAAATAGGTCCAAGAATTTTGCACTCAGAACCAAGGATGGAGAGAAAGAAGTCCAGATTTATTCAGCAGAAAGCTCATATTCCTAACCGAGGATGAAGAGGCTAGGATTATACCGGGTAGGAAGCTCACATCCATACAGAAAGATGAAGGAGGCCTACGTTACACAGCTTGACACTTATATATCCATATCCAAGGAAGAAGGAAACCAGGATTCATACAGCCAGGAAAGTCATATCCATCTCCATATAGATAAGGATTCCAGGGTCTTTACATATCCAGGATATGCATATCTACACCTCAGAAACAAAGAAATTAGCCACTAATTCATTACTAGTGGGAACGTAAAATGGTACAGTCGCTCTGGAGAACAGTCTGGGCATTTCCTAACGCCCTAAATAAATACATAACTATTATACCACCCAGCAGTTGCAGTGCTGGGTTTATCCTGGAGAAATGAAAACCTAGGTTTGTAGAAAAACCTGCCCAGGAATGCGCGTAACAATGTAACGTGTAATAGCTCAAGTAGAAACCCTACAGTCCTTTCAACAGGTAACTGGTTAAACTGACTATGGTACATCCATCCATACCATTGAATAGCACTCAGCAATAAAAAGGGAACAAAGTATTGACACCTTGGTACCACTGGAAACTCACTTCCTAGTACAGAAAACAGGTGGTCAGGGTTTACAAAGTAAACACACTGAACGAATTTGCAGAGAACAATGCTTCAGGGGAAAAAAGCCAGTCCCCCAAGCTTACATATTATGTCATTCCATTTAAATAGAATTCTTGAAATGGCAAAATTCTGTAAGTGTAGAACAGCTTAGTGGTTGCCAGGCATCAGGGCAATGGAGGGGGAGGAAGGTGGTTGGCACTGGAAGGACAATGGGAGGCATCTTTTTGCAGAGGAAAGAGTCTGTATGTTGAGTGCGCCGAGGTACTACAACTCTCCAAGACGCCACCGGTGGGGGAAATGGGTAAAGCGTACACGGCGATCTCTGTATTATTTGTTATAAGTGCATGTGAATCCTCCATGAGCTGGTAAGAAATATTTTAACTAAAATAGAGTTGAGCCCTCCAGTACAGGTTGCCCTGAGTATTCTGCCAACAGACTGACCTAGCAGGTCAGTCCCCAGTTCGGGCTCTACCCCTAGGAATGGCATCCCTCCTCCAGAGGAGGCATTTCCCAAATGCCCCAGGATAGGAGTTGGCACAGAAGGAGAGCCAAGCCGTCGATGAAGACATTCTCCACCGGACACAGGAACGCCGAGAGCCAACACTAAGAAGCGGCCTCCACACTGGACGGCGGCCTCCACTGGCGAGCCGCTGCTGGTAAAACAAAGAGAAGGCCGTGGGCAGGCGGCACTGGGAGCAAACCAAGCGCAGTCCGCGGCGGTGCTACTTGAAAGTCAGCACAGATCCACCCAAATGGAGCGCTCGCCGCCCCACGGCTAGCGGGGCGCTCCCGCGGGGGTTCTGCGCCTCCCCTCCACCAGGTGGAGCCAGTACTCGCAAGGGAGCCTCCGCGGTTCAGAGGTCACACCCCGGCTGAAGTAAACTGCGCTCAGGCGGCCTTCAGGGGCGCGACCCCAGCGTCTTTCCTCGTCCCACGCCCCGGCGCCGAGCAGAGACGACCTTAGCGGTCCTGCACCTAGCGGTCCTGCAGGTCCCTGAATCCTCTTCGGATCTGCGCTGAAGAAAGGCGGGAGCTCAGCCGCGCGCCCTGCCTCCGCCGCCATGGCCCAGCTGCGAGCCTGCGAAGTCCGGCAGCTGCTGCACAACAAGTTCGTGGTGGTCATGGGGGACTCGGTCCAGCTGGCCGTGTACAAGGACCTGGTGCTCCTGCTGCAGAAGGACTGCCTGCTGTCCTCCAGTCAGCTGAAGGCCAAGGGCGAGCTGAGCTTCGAGCGCGACATGCTGCTGGTGGGCTGCAGCAGCGGCCGCATGCACTATGGCAGCCACTACCGCGAGGTGCGCCAGTTCCGCTCGGGCCACCACCTGGTGCGCTTCTACTTCCTCACGCGCGTGTACTCGCACTACGCGGAGCGCGTCGTGGAGGAGCTGCGTAGGTCCGAGCCCGCCCCGGACGTGGTGGTCATGAACTCCTGCCTCTGGGACCTGGCCAGGGATGGCCGGGGCTTCCCCAGGAGCTACCGGCGTGACGTGGAGAGCCTGTTCGCGCGGCTGGACTGGGCGCTGCCCACGTCCTGCCTCCTGCTCTGGAATACAGCCATGCCCGTGGCTGACACCATCTCGGGGAGCTGCCTCCCATGCGCGCGCCACCTCCGCTGCGCCCACCTGCGCGAAGACGTGATGGAGGCCAACTTCTATAGCTCCGCCGAGGCGGAGAGGCGCGGCTTCGACGTGCTGGACCTGCATTTCCACTTCCGCCACGCCGCGCAGCACCGGCTCCCCGACGGCGTGCACTGGGACGAGCGCGCGCACCGCCACCTCTCCCAGCTGCTGCTGGCCCACCTGGCAGACGCTTGGGGCGTGGACCTGCCCCGCCGCGAAGCCGTGGACGGGTGGGTCAGGCATGGCCACGCCAACAGACGTGCAGCCCTGGCGGGCCGAAGGCGGCCCCGAGACGACCGAGCGGACCCACACGGCCGAGGGGACCGAGCGGGCAGAGGAGACCTCCGCGCCCCTCGACCGCTCACTTCGTTCTTTCCCTGGGCTCGACTGCCTTTCCCTCCCCGCCGCCAGGTCGCCTATCCGCCCTCCGACCGGCATTACTCCAGCGACTCCTCCACGCGCCACATCCGACACAGCAGCGAAGAAAACGCCAGGGTTGGCCGCGAGTCGCGGCCGGGCCCCATCCGCACAAGCTCTGCCCTACACCGAGAGAGGGGGCATTCCCCTTACCGTCCGTGGCGCCCCAGCGAGCCACGCCTAAGCCAGCGAAGCCGCACACGCACACACAGAGGGGTCCCGAGAACGCCCAGGCCTTAGTAGCCAGACCTGGGAGAACGTCCTGTCTTCCCCAGCATGGTCAGTGGGCTGCCTGACCACTATCACACGGGCGTGGCCTTCAGCAACTCTTCCGAGGTGGGGGTATTTTTTACGCTTCCTACTCTAATGAGTGAACAGCTTGCCACATCATTCCTCTTTGCCAGAGCTTTCATGCCACTTCTTGGGAAGGGAGCAGGGACCCAGACCACCAGGCCGTTCTCCTCTAAGCATTTAGGGAGAAATGAAGTCTACATAAAAGGGCTCCTCGCCTTAAAAAACAAAAACAAAAAAAAAAGAAAAAAAGTTAAGCTATCCCCGAATGTAAGTCTTCAGGCAGTATTTCCCATTGACATTCTTCCAAAAAAAAAAAAAAAGGTAAAAATTTTGATGCTTAGAACTTAAACATTTCAATTAAGATATCCATTTCACCGTTCGTTTTTGCGTATATTCATAGAACCTAGTATCTAAAGCTTTCACCTAAGTTGTCTTACAGATTCTTTACATTTCTCTGTGTTTCAACATAGCATTTGTCCTAAAAAATATTCCATTCACTAATGCAAGGTTGTTTATTTTCTGTTAGAAACATGATCTTTAAAGTTCATCGAATGCCTAGCAAATTTTTAAAAATAGACTTTTTATTTATTTTTTTTTTTTAGATAGGGTCTCACTGTGTTGCCCAGGCTGGAGTGCACTGGCTCAAACGATCCTCTTGCCTCAAGCCCCTCAAGTTACTGGGACCACAGGCATGCACTACCATGCCTGGCGAACTTTTAAAATTTTTTGTAGAGATGGGGACTCGCCATATTGCCCAGGCTGTTCTCAAAGTCCTGGACTCAAGCAATCCTCCTGCCTAGGCCTCCCACAGTGTCGGGGTTACAGGTGTGAGCCAGGGCACCTGACCTAGAGTTTAATTTTTAGAGCAATTTTAGGTTCACAGCAAAATTGAGTGGACAGTACAGAGAGCTTCCATATACTTTTTTGATTTCACACAGGCAAAGCCTCCCCCACTATCAGCATTCCACGTGTTTGGTACATTTGTTGTCTTTGATGAAGCCACCTTAACACATCATTATCACCCCAACACCATAGTTCATTAGAGTTCCTTCTTAATGTTCTCCATTCTATGGGTTTTGACAAATGTATAATAGCATGGATCATCCATCATTATAGTATCATACAGAATAGTTTCACTGTCTTGAAAATCTTCTCTGCTCTGTCTCTGCATCCTTCCTGCTCCCCAACCCCTGGAAACCATGGATTTATAACTGTCTCCATAGTTTTGTTTTTTCCAAAATGATATATAGGTAGACATACAATATGTAGCCTTTTCAAATTGGGCTCTTTTGATTAGGAATTTAAGTTCCCAGCATGTCTTTCCATGGCTTGAGAACTCATTTATGTTTAATTTTTAATTTTTGTGAGTATATATTTATGGGGTACATGAGATGTTTTTATACAGGCACGCAATATGGAATAATCACATCATGGAGAATGGGGTATCCATCCCTTTATGCATTCATGCTTTGCGTTACAAACAATGCAGTTACACTCTTGGTTATTGTAAAGTGTACAATTAGGTTATTGACTATAGTCACCCTGCTATGCTATCAAATAGTAGGTATTATTTATTCTTTCTGTTTTTTGTACCCAATAACTCATTTATTTTTAGGGCTGAATAATATTCCATTGTCTGGATGTACCACTGTTTATTCACCTACTGAAGGACATTATGGTTTTTTCCAAGTTTTGGCAATTATGAATAAAACTGTTATGAACATCTGTGTGCAGGTTTTTTGTAAATAAAATTTGAATAATTATCAAGGACTATGACTGCTGGATCATGTGGTAAGAGTATGTTTAGTTTTGTGAGAAACTGCCAGACTGTCTTTCAGTGTGGCTATACCATACTGCATTCCCATCCACATCCTTGGAATCATTTGCTGTTATCAGTGTTTTGGAGTTTTTCTGAAAAGTATAAGGTGGTGTCCAGATTTATGTATTTATTTTTGCATGTTGCTTCAGCACTATTTGTTGAAAAGACTGCCTTTTCTCCATCATATTGCCTTTGCTCCTTTGCCAAATATCAGTTGACTATATTTGTGGGTGTCTATTTCTGGGTTCACTATTCTGTTCTATTGACCTGTGTATTCTTTTGCCAATACTACACTATCTTGATTACTGGAAGTTTATATTAAGGCTTGAAGTCAAGTAGTGTCAGTACTCTGACTTAGTTTCCCTTCAATATTGTGTTGGCTACTCTGGGTCTTTTGCTTCCCCATGTAAATGTTAGAATCACTCTGTCAATGTCCACAAATAGTTTGCTGCAATTTCCCTTGAAATTACATTGAATCTATAGATGAAGTTAGGAAGAACTAACATATTGACAATATTGTCTTTGAGATATCTCTCGAGATTTCTTCTTTGATCCAAGTGTTATTTACAAGTGGGTTGTTTAATCTCCCAGTACTTGGGGATCTTCAAGCTACCTTTCTGTTACTGGTATCTAGCTTAATTTCACTGGGGGATTTGAGAGCAAACATTGTATGATTTTTATTTTAAAATTTGTTGAGGTGCGTTTTATGGCCAAGAATGTGGTCTGTCTTGGTGAATGTTCCATGTGAGCTTGAGAAGAATGTGTCGTCTGCTGCTGTTGGATGAAGTATTTTATAGATGTCATTTATATCCAGTTGATTGATAGTGCTGTTGAGTTCAACTATGTCTTTACTGATTTTCTGCCTGCTGAATCTGTCCATTACTGATGGGTGTTGAAGTTTCCAACTAAAATAGTGTATTCATCTATTTCTCCTTGGAGTTTTATAAGTTTGTGCCTCGTGTATTTTCGTGCTCTGTTGTTAGGTGCATACACTTTAAGGATTGTTACGTCTTCTTGGAGAATTGGGTCCTTTTATCATTATGTAAAGTTCGTCTTTATCTGTGATAACATTCCTTGCTTTGAAGTCTGCTCTCTCTGAAATTCATGTAGCTACTGAGTTTTCTTTTGATTCGAGTTATTATATCTTTCTCCATCCCTTTATGTTTAATCTTGATGTGTATTTATATTTAAAGTGCATTTCTTGTAGACAATATATAGTTGGGTCTTTTGATGCACTCTGACAATCTCTTTTCATTGGTGTCACGACAATTGATGTTTAATTATTGATATTGTTGGATTAATATCTTCCTTATTTGTTACTGCATTCTATTCATTGTTTTTTGTTCTTCCACTCTTTTTTTGCCTTTTGTGGTTTAACTTAGCATTTTGTATGTGATCCTTTTTTTTTTCTCCTTAGCATATCAACTACAGTATACTTATTTATTTACTTTTTTTAGTGGTTGCTCTGGCATTTTCAATATACATTTGCATCGAATCCAAATCTACTTTTGAGTAATACCGTACACCTCATGGATAGTGCAAGGTTATCCGTAAGTTACAAACACTAAATACATTATTGCCATTACTATTATTATTATTATTTATTTATTTTTATTTTTATTTTTTGAGACAGAGCCTCGCTCTGTAGCCCAGGCTGGAGTGCAGTGGCATGATCTCGGCTCACTGCAACCTCCGCCTCCTGGGTTCAAGCGATTCTCTTGCCTCAGCCTCCTGAGTAGCTGGGACTACAGGCGCCTGCCACCATGCCCAGCTAATTTTTTATATTTTTAGTAGAGATGGGGTTTCACTGTGTTAGCCAGCATGGTCTCGATCTCCTGACCTCGTGATATGCCCACCTTGGCCTCCCAAAGTGCTGGGGATACAGGCGTGAGCCACCGTGTCTAGCCTGCTATTATTATTTTTAACAAACTGTTGTATATTCAACCAATTAAGAATAGAAGAATAAGTTTTTGTTTTACCTTCACGTATTCCTTCTTGATGCTCTTTATATAAAGCAAAATTTCTGACCTATATTATTATCCCTCTCTGAAAAACTCCTTTTTTTTTTTTTTTGAAACGGAGTCTCGCTCTGTCGCCCAGGCTGGAGTGCAGTGGCGAGATCTCAGCTCACTGCAAGCTCCGTCTCCCGGGTTTACGCCATTCTCCTGCCTCAGCCTCCCGAGGAGCTGGGACTACAGGCGCCCGCCACCTCGCCCGGCTAGTTTTTTGTATTTTTTAGTAGAGACGGGGTTTCACCATGTTAGCCAGGATAGTCTTGATCTCCTGACCTCGTGATCCACCAGTCTCGGTCTCCCAAAGTGCTGGGATTACAGGCTTGAGCCACCGCACCTGGCCCCTGAAAAACTTCTTTTAACATTTTTTGCAAGGCAGGTTTACTGGCAACAAATATTCTCTATTTTTGTTTGTTTGGGAAAGTCTTAACAGGCATACCTCAGAGATATTGTGGGTTTGGTTCCAGACCACTACAATAAAGTGAATGTCTCAAAGCAAGTCATGAATTTTTTGGTTTTTTGGTGCATGCAAAAATTAGGTTTATACCCTAGTATAGTCCATTAAGCGTGCAATAGAAGTAAGTCGAAAGAACCCAATGGACATAACTTAATTTAAAAATTTTTATTGCCAAAAAAATGCTAGCTATCATCTGAGCCTTTAGCAAGTTGTAATCTTTTTGTTAGTGGAAGGTCTTGCCTCCATATTGATGGCTACTGACTGATCAGGGTAGTAGTTGCTAAAGGTTGAGGTGGCTGTGTCAATTTCTTAAAATACAACATTGAAGTTTGCTGTATCAATTGACTCTTTGTTTCACAAAATATTTATCTGTAGCATGCAATGCTATTTGACAGCATTTTACTCACAGTAGAACTTCTTTCAAAATTGAATCAACACTCTCATACCCTGCTACTGCTTTGTAAACTAAGTTTATGTAATATTTTAGATATTTTATTGTCGTTTCAACAACGTTCAGAGCATCTTCACGAGGAGAAGTTTCCATCTCAGGAAATATTTTCTGTGTTCATTTATAAAAATCAACTCCTCATTTGTTCAAGTTTTATCATGAGATTAGAGCAATGGAGTCACATCTTTAGGCTCCACTTGTAATTCTAGTTCCCTTGCTATTTCTACCACTTCTGCAGTTGTTTCCTCCACTAAAGTTTTAAACCCTTCAGTCTTCGATGAGGGTTAGAATCAACTTCTTCCAGACCCCTGTTGATGTTGATATTTTGACATCTTCCCATGAATAAAGAATGTTCTTAATGGCATCTAAAGTGAATTCTTTCCAGAACATTTTCAATTTATTTTGCCCAGATCCATCAGAGGAATCACTATGTATGGCAACTCTAGCTTTATGAAATGTCTTTCTTAAATAATAATTAAAAGTTGAAATTGCTTCTTGATCCATGAGCTGCAGAATGGATGTTATGTTAGCAGTCATGAAAACATTATTCTGTTTATCTATCTCCATTGTAGCTTTTGTATGATCAGGTGCATTGTCAATGAGCAGTAATGTTTTGATAGGAATCTTTTTTCTGAGCAATAGGTCTCATCAGTGGGCTTAAAATATATATTAAGAAAACCATGCTGTAAAGAGATGTGCTGTCATCAAGGTTTTGTTGTTCCATTTACAGAACACAGCCAGAGTAAATTTAGCATGATTCTTAAGGGCTCTAGGATTTTCAGAATGGTAATCATTGGCTTCAACTTCAAGCCACCAACATTAGTCCCTAACAAGAGATTTTCCCTGTCCTTTGTAGCCTTGAAGCCAGACATTGACT